GGGCACAGTGTCACATACTTATAATCCCAGCACTTTGGGAGGCCAAAGCAGGAGGTTTGCTTGAGCCCAGGAGTTTGAGACCAGCCTGGGCAATATAGTGAGACCTTGACTTTATAAAAATTTTTAAAAAAATTTTACAGACGTAGCTACAATGACAGCAGGACTTTAGAAGAGATATGTGCCAGCTTGTATGAAAACACACAGGTGATGGAGTAAAACTCCGGTGCAAGGAAGCACACATTTGAGCTGGAAGATGCAAGCTAGACTGAATGGGAGAGGCATCCTCAACAAAGTACTTAGCAAAGGTATAGAGGAATGAAGGGTGAGGATGAGTTTGGAGAATGCTGCCTTTTCTTGTCTGGCTAGAATGGAAGCCACATGGGAGGCAAGGACTGGAAGCTGGCTGCCATGCTAAGGAGTAGTTTGGACTTTACAAGCGTTATGAAAGAATCAGAAGTAGTTACACAGAGGAGTGACAGGCTCAGGTCTGGTTTTAGAACAATTAATTACTCTAGTGATGATGGGACCATATTAATGGGTAACCAGTTTCACTCATTTCTGCAGTGTGAAACTAGAAATCATTGCAGGCTCATAAGCAACATCTGAGAACCTAGACTACTAGCGTGGTGGAAAGGATGCCATAGTAACCAACCAATGAAATGTGGCAGAGGGAATCACCAACTACTCCAAAGTCCCCAACCCTTCTGGATACTCAAAATGTGAACATGGAATGGCTAGTGCCAAACTACATCATCTGGGAACAACGACCCAGCTAGAATTCCAATTTTCCTGAACAGGGGCAGCATAAAGCAATATGCCCAGCCTATTTGCCAGTAGTAGTTGTTACCAGAAACAAATCAGTATAAACACTGTAGGGAGGAATGTCAAATTGTGCAAAATATATATAGGCTCAGGCAGGCCTCAGAAAAAGTACCTGTAAGCCAGGCATGGTGGCTCACGCCTGCAATCCCAACTTTGGGAGGCCAAGGTGGGAGGATCGCTTGAAGCCAGGAGTTCAAGACCAACCTGGGCAACACAGCAAAACCCCATCTCTATTTTAAAAAAGAAAGAAAGAAAAAGCACTGCTAGGAACAAAAATTGCCAAAAGGATTCTGTAATCTACAAGATCAGAGGACAGTTTTCTTTAACAAAGAGAAAAGGGAAAGAATCACGAAAGAAAAGGCCATTATTTCAGTAGCTAAGTCAAAAAACCTCCACAGGAAATTTCTTCTTCATTTCTACTGTGAAATTCAGTACACATTCAATTACATTATTCAATACTAGGTATTTTAATAGGTTTTGAGGAGCTATTCATGATTAAATGCAAAATAGAGGAGAAGCAACGGCGGATAACTTGAGGCTAAGAAAAAGCGGCATTACCATTATCCCCCAACTGACTTTTTGGAACCATCTGGTATGGTTTACTTACTTCCAAAAACATCAAAGTATTCCTATAAAAATGCCAGTGATGTCAAATAACAATAGCAAAAAGTTCTTCCCTTCATATTTCTACTTGTGCTCCCAGTTAATTTAATATCAGTCCAGACAATTACAAAGGTATTTACATCATTTCCAAAGTACTGATCAGATACCTAAATTTAGTTCACTCAAACCAGGGCTAAACAAGAACATTTAGATCTAATGGGTCACTCAAGATGACTAGAACTTCCCAGTCTCTCCATGTCATTTCCGTTAAGTCTTTTTTTTTTTTTAAGTGAAGTGAGTCATAGTGTATAGGTCTTTCTCCTTTGCATAAAATAGTTTTTTTTTCCTCTGAAGAAAATGGTATTTAAGTAAACGTTATTGCAAATTTTAATATTCATCTTTTTGGAATATAACAACATAAGCTGTATATCAGTAAGGAATTTTAGTGAATTATTGTTACACAGTTTTAACCTAGTCCGGCATTAGATTGTATTTCATAATGAAAACAGCTATAAAAACAAATGTCAACTGGAAGAGTGGCCCATTTTACAAAGCCTGCCTCTAACATGAATAAATCTTGCCTTCATGTCACAAGCTACTATTGCAGTCCCCTTTATCTGAAACAATCAGATCATTCACACTGAAATATAGTGAATGGTGTCAGAGAATCAAAGAATTTACAGATGAGAAAACAAGCAAAACACCGGACCCAACCCCTCTTAAACTACAGATGGAGGGCAGCACATGAGCTATTCTTTTCATTTACTCAACCCTCTCTCCTCTCATTCTAGCTCAGTAAAACCAATCTATTTTCCTCATCTAGGCTCGCTCTCTCCTCTTAGACAGCTAGGCCCAATCTAGCAACGGGATGATCTGAAAGTGCTTAAATGCTAGAAAACAATGTCTTTAAAGCCATCTATATACACTATCAAAGCTGACTTTTTATAGACCTAGATGCTTATTAGCATCTATGCTATTCATTAAAAATACGGTTATGCTCACTTTATCAAATTGACCTAGCAAAGAATCTCTGCCTGAAAATTTGTTTTCTAAGCCACCACATTCCTCAGCACTCAAAAGTCCTCTTCACTCTTGGTTCTTTCCCCAATAGTTTTCAAGTTTTTACATCTTTTTGTTCTAATTAGAAAATAAGTTAGAATAACTGACCTGTTTACCAAGTTGTAAGCAAAAATTACATTATTTCTCTAATCACAATAGGCTAGGCAAGCTCAAAGTATGACTTTGTATAAGGCTGCCCTTATTTCGACATCTATAAAATATTAATTTTTTAAACTTCCATTTTCTATCAATTGTAAACACATTTCTTTGAATCCCTGAAAAATAATGGTTTTGGTAAACTGATACACACCTTGGAAAGTCAGCCACTTTAGACTCAAGGTCATTTGAACTCTGTTTCAGAAAACGCTACAGTTGTATGACAAAGAGCTACTTTTACACTTAGAAAGGAGAAAAGCTTCTGATTTCAAGATTCTAGAAAAGAAAAATACCTATACAGTGGAGGTGAGAAAAGCCCTCCGTGACAATTCTCCAAGACCAAAAGAAACTACCTCCAGGAATGTGGCAATCCATTAAGAAACAGGGAAAATCTCAACACCTTGACTAACTTGTGGAGTTTACTTATGGCAGAAATACTTATGAACAATGAAGGAAATGAATTGAAGACTGACACACTCCATGCTAGTTGCATGCTTAATACAGTTTTAACAATGCTTGGGTGACAGGTCAGCCCACTCTGGCTTAAAATTCTAAGAAATAAAATTCAACTAAGAACTAAGTTACAATACGTATTTCTTGTCAACTCAGTCAGTTTCAGTGGAAAAGACCTCCACAATGCTTCCACTGTGATGGGATGTATCATAATCAACTCCAACACTTCAGATCAACAATTTTCATTTAAAGCCACTTTAGACTCTACTGCATTAAACTGATGCAGAAAATTTGTCTACACATTCTCAAAGTCACTTGTGGAATTCATTCAACTAATTCAGAGACCAGATATGGCATACAAATTTTATACACTGATCAATCATACTTATTAGTATATAGATTACAGTGGTTAGAAATATTAGTCTAGCAGAAACTAATATACACACTACAGTTCAAATAAAAAGAGTCCTGTCAAATAAGCTTGATGTAAATCCACATGAAAATCAAGGCTGCCAAAAAAAGGCTTTTGTTAGTCAAGCATACCAAAGAACTGCTTAAACCTTTTTTCCTTTCTAAGCAGTGCTCAAAATAGATTTTAATACTACAGCTGATGGATCTCACAATTTGCCTTTTGAGCCTATAAGCTGAAACCAGAATCAACTGCCGTCTCCCTTTACACAAGTAACAAAATCTCTCTATTCTGTATATCGCTTAAGATACTGTGCAAGTGTGGTTTTAGTATATCTTCACAACCCCCGCAATGACATTTAATTGGGAGTATGTATTTTCTTCAGAGGATTTAGCTGCTTGTGAAAGGAAGAGCTCTTTGTGTTTTTAACTATTTGTTTTACAGATCTATGAGAAACCCTACTTTCCTAACTTTTTAACACACAAGGAGATGAAGACTCCTAGGACAAGGTCATCTCTGCCATGACCAAAGACTAAGTTGCTCACTGAGGAAAGATGCTATTTTAGAGAGGGTTAAAATGTTAACCTTCCTGATTCCCTGCCTGAAAGGATAATATTATGGCCCCAATGGAGTGGGTACTGCAGGCCTCCTGGCTAGAAGGTTCTTTAGCCCCATATTCTCATGGTTTTCTGCTCCTTTTGGTTCAGCTCACAAAGCAAATGTCTCTTCCTTTGACAGGCCTTCCCTGATCCCCTTCTCTAAGGTAGCCGGCTTTCTATGCAGTCACCCTGTACCCCGTTAGGAATTCGTTCTCTTCACAGCACTTGTCTCTATCTGAAATTATTTGCTTTTGTGTTTGATTGCCCTATTCGACTCTACGCTCCACTAAGGCTAGCATCTTGCCTGTCCTGTTTAGCAAACACCATCTCCAATGCCTAAGCGGTGCCTAGCACAGAATAAGCTCGCCAACTCCTATCCAATAAATGAATGAACAGAAAGGGGGAAGGGGACTGTCATCCCTGGGACTCGACGCACACTGAGACTAGGGAAAAGGAAATGTGAAGGAGGGAGGGGGGGAGTAACCTTTTTCCCCAGGGAGACAAAGGAAGAGAGTCTGAGGTGGTCCAGTCCAGAAAAGGAAACAGTGGGGGTGCTAAATCACCCCAGGGGACAAAGAGTGGACAGGCAGGGGGCGGGGTCGGGGTGCGAGGGATTCCCGTTGAGCACAGACAGGCGATCCCCGGCTTGAGAGATCACCCGGGCTGGAGAACAGGAGGGAGGTGGGGGATCGAAGAGGGCTCCGAGGCTGCGGCGAGAAACAGGCCCACCCCGGGGACAAAGGGGGGGGGGACGCAGTGCGTCGCTGTCCCATCGAATCCTCAAGCAGGAGGAGCGAGGCAGAGGGCAAGACCCAGAGGAAGTCTGGAGCCTGGGGGTCTGAGGGGATGTTCAAGCGGCCTAAGCGAAGGGCCCGCCACGCTCCGGGGCGCTCCCGCACCTGGTAAATGGCCGCCCAGCTCCCGGACTTGTCGATCTGCTCGAACTCCTTTTCCATCTCCATGACGGGCCAGGGCGGCTGCTGCGCCTCCTTCTCGGCCCACTGCGCAGTCTGCCGCTCTAGGCCGCCTCGCGCTCTTAGCCCCGAGGCCCGCTGCAAGCACCAACTCCTGCCGCTACCGCCGCCCTAGCCGCCGCGGCTTCTTCATGTCAACCGGCAGCCGGAACTACGCACAGCGCCTGCCAGGGGCTCCGCCCCCGAGCAGAAGGACCAATCAGCGATCGAAAATGTCGACAAGCACTTCCGCGGGGAGGAGCCGGGGGAGGTGCTAGGGGAAGTGGCCCCAGCACCGCGAGATATCTAATAGCGCGCGCTCCCTCCTCCGCTCCGGGGCTCTGGGCTCGGGCGTGGCGCGCGCCCGTTGCCTAGGCGACCCCGGGAGACCTGCCCACGGCGCGTGGGCTCTCCAGGCCCGGGAGGGCCTTGAGTTCCAGCCTCCACCCGGCCCGTTGAGTCACAGAGTGAGTGGCCTTAAAGTAGTCATGCACCTCCTTTCCTGCAGGGCCTGGGCCCCGGCCTCGGTAATCCAAGCTGGAGTATGGGCGGAGGGCACCGTGCTCTATTTCCTGCCTCCCAGCTCTGGCCAGATGTCTGCCCTCTTTTCATGAAACTCAGGAGTGTCATGTTTCACCACGGTGCTGGGGAACCCACTACTCTCTAAGGGTAGTGTCCCTGTCTGAAACGCAGAATTTCCACTTGGGTGCTGCAGGAATGAATGGATAGGGATGGAAGGATTTTGTTTCCCAGAGTATCAAGGAACTCCTGCTCAGACTGAACTAAGCAGAGCACAAATTCCACGGTGCGTTATGTTAAATAAAAATCATAGGAGACCAGGCGCGGTAGCTTATGTCTGTAATCCCAGCACTTTGGGAGGCAGAGGCAGGCGGATGCCTTGAGGCCAGGAGTTCCAGACCAGCCTGGGTAACATAATGAGAACTCGTCACTACTAAAAGTTAAAAAATTAGCCGGTGTGGTGGGGCCCAGCTGCTGGGAACTGAGGCAGGATGATCACCTGAGCCCAGGAGGTGGAAGCTGCAGTGAGCTGTTTTGGCACCACTGCACTCCACCTTGGGTGACAGAGCGAGACCCTGTCTAAAAAAAAAAAAAGGGCTGGGTGCGGTGGCTCACACCTGTAATCCTAGCGCTTTGGGAGGCCGAGGCAGGTGGATCAGCTGAGGTCAGGAGTCCCAGACCAGCCTGACCAACATGGTGAAACCTGGTTTCCACCAAAAAAAAAAAAAAAAAAAAAAAGTAACCGGGCGTAGTGGTGCATGCCTGTAATACCAGCTACTTGGGAGGCTGAGGCAGGAGAATCGCTTGAACCCTGGAGGCTGAGGTTGCAGTGAGCCGAGATAGCTCCACTGCACTCCAGCCTGGGCAACAAGAGCGAAACAAACAAACAGAAAAAGTTCTGGCATTAGGGTCCCAACAGACTAAACTAAAAATCAAAATGGAGTCACTCATGCTAAAGTTCTACATCATCAGACTGATAACCTTTCCTGAAATCAGAAGAGAGATACACACCCTGATTTCCCAAACAGACCGTTTTAATCAACATAATGAAGTTCCCTTTGCTTTAATCCTTACAACAAAAAGTAACCTGAAGTAACCCGATGCGAACCAATCAGTTATTTCTCTTGTTCTCTTTCCCTGTTCCTGCCTTACAAGGAAAGTAACTTTGAAATGACCAATCTGCTTTTTGTTCTTTGTTTCTGCTTTTTTCAGCCCTTTTCTGTCTATAAAACCAACCTCCTCTGCTTAGCTCATTGGGACACTTGTGGAATGAAGTCTTGCCCGATTCTAGAATCACAAATGAAGCCAATTAAGATGTTTAAACTAAAAATTTGTTATAATTTTGTCTTTTGACATTTACAATCACCTGGGAAGTGTGTTGAATAATGCAGGTTCCTGGACCCATCTCCAAATCATTCCAATATCTTTGGTCTAGGGATGAGGCCAGGAATCTGCATTTTCACCAACAACTCCAGCTGATTTTGGTACCTGTGATCCTTGAAGCACCCATGAGCAAGCTGGTCAGGTTGCTTTCCTGCAGGCTCTAGTTTAAACCATCCCCCTCTGGGCCTGGCATGTCATGTGAACGTTGTGAATTCCAGGAGGTTTGAAAACCTAGAAGAGAGAATTGTCTTCATTCCGTGTTGCCCAGAGCCACTGCCTGGTATTATCAGCTGAATTCCAGCTCATTCCTTGAGTGCTTGTGGCAGGCACTATGCCTGGAATTCTAAGTACACATTCCCATTCAATCTCCACAACAACCCTCCAATACAGGTGCTATTATTTCCATTTTATAGACGAGGGAACTGACTGGCTGTGATGGCTCACGCCTGTAATCCCACCACTTTGGGAGGCCGAGGTGGGCGCATCACTTGAGGTCGGGAATTCAAGACTAGCCTGACAAGCATGGTGAAACCTCATCTCTACCAAAAATACAAAAATCAGCAGGATGTGGTGGTGCATGCCTGTAATCCCAGCTACTCGGGAGGCTGAAGCACAAGACTCACTTGAACCTGGGAGGCAGAGGCTGCAGTGAGCTGAGATTGCGCCACTGCACTCTAGCCCGGGCAACAGAGTGAGATCCTGTCTCAAAAAAAAAAAAAAAAAAAAAAAAATTAGCCGTATGTGGTGGTGTGCACCTGTAGTCCCAGCTACTCAGGAGGCTGAGGTGGGAGGATCATTTGAGACTGGGAGATTGAGGCTGCAGTGAGCCATGATCATACCACTGCACTCTAGCCTGGATGATGGAGTGAGACCCTGTCTCAAAAAAATAAAAATAAAAATAGGCCAGGCACGGTGGCTCACACCTGTAATCCTAGCACTTTGGGAGGCTGAGGCGGGTGGATCACCTAAGGTCAGGAGTTCAAGACAAGACTGGCCAACATGGTGAAAGCCCATCTCTACTAAAAATACAAAAAATAGACGAGTGTGGTGGTACACACCTGTAATCCCAGCTAATTGGGAGGCTGAGGAAGGAGAATGGCTTGAACCTGGGAAGTGGAGGTTACAGTGAGCTGAGATTGAACCACTGCACTCCAGCCTGTGCGACGGGAGCAAGATACCATTCAAAAAATAAATAAATAAATAATAAAATAAATAAAAATAAAAAATTAGATGAGGGGGGACCGGGCGCGGTGGCTCATGCCTGTAATCCCAGCACTTTGGGGGGCTAAGGGTAGGTGATCACCTGAGGTCAGGAGTTCGACACCAGCCTGAGCAATATGGTGAAACCCCATCTCTACTTAGCCAGCCATGGTGGTGTGTGATTGTAGACCCAGCTACTCGGGAGGCTGAGATAGGAGAATTGCTTGAACCTGGGAGGTGGAGGTTGCAGTGAGCCGAGATCACACCACTGCACTTGGGCCTGGGTGACAGAGCAAGACTCTGTCTTAAAAAAAAAAAAAAAAAAAGAGAGACATGAGGAAACTGAGGCACAGAGAGGCAAAATTACTTGTCCAGAGTAGCATTGCACATTGGTATGGAAACCTGCATTCTAACCTGGTCTCCAGAGCTTGCTTCGGAGCCAGGCTTCGTGGGTCCAAGTTCCAACTGAATAAATACTAGTGGTGCAAGCTTGGGCAAGTTTTCATTAATCTCTGATCTCTGCTCTCCTTTGTAAAACAGAGATAACAAAAGTGCCCACCTCATAGGGCTGATGTGAAGATTGGATGAGTACATATCATGCTCTTAGTATACTGAGTGGCTAAATAAATATTAACTGTCATTACCACATATCTTTAACTAATAGCAAATAAAGGAGATAAATGAAATGTTATTGAATACATACAATTAACTTGATTAGCAACGTCTTTAGAAAGTGAGCATTCCATAGGGGAAAATTGAACAAAAGACGCCCATTCCAGTGAAAACTGTGGGAGCTGCCACACTTGGAAGCTGCCTAATTGAAGTCTTAGTTCCTTTAAGTGACTGTCCAGACTCCTGTGCTCCTCCTGCCCTTATATCCTTATTCTTTTTGAGTTCTAGTTTGTCTGGAACTCACAACCCTGGGAGCATCCTGGAACGAAAACAGAGTTGGTTCATTCCTATCCCTGTATGTCAAGCTAAGTAAGTAAATAAATGCCCATCCTGAGCCCAAGTGGCCCTCACGCCTGCAGCGGGTGCCACCCAGTGACTGGAGTAGCCTTTTTTGTTTTGTTTCGTTTTGTTTAAGATAGAGTCTTGTTCTGTCACCCAGGCTGGAGTGCAATGACGTGATCTTGGCTCACTGCAACCTCCACCTCCCAGGTTCAAGTGATTCCCCTGCCTCAGCCTCCCTAGTAGCTGAGGTTATAGGTGTGTGCCATCATGCCCAGCTGATTTTTGTACCTTTAGTAGAGATGGAGTTTTGCCCATGTTGGCCAGGCTGGTCTCGAACTCCTGACTTCAGGTGACCTGCCCACCTCGGCCTCCTGAAGTGCTGGGATTACAGGTATGAGCCACTGCACCCCGCCTGAAGTAGCCTTTGAATGGGGGCAAAGCTATACACCAGGTCTTGGTGGGGGAGAGGGGAGTTGGAGGCAGCCTCAAGCAGGGTCCAAGTTTGGGCTGTTTAGAGGCTGTACTTGTTTCCAGTGGCTGCTGTAACAAATTACCACAAATTTGGTGGCTTCAAATAACAGAAATTTATTCTCTCATAGTTCTTGAGGCCCAGAGTCCAAAATCAAGGTGTTGACAGTGCCTTGCTCCCTCTGAAGGCTCCAGGGGAGGGTCCTCCTTTGCTTCCTCCAGCTTCTGGTAGCTCCAATCATTCCTTGGCTTGTGGCTGCCTCACTCTGATCCCTGCCTCTGTCTTGGCAGACTTTCTTCTCTGTATATCCTGTTCTGCCTGTGCCATTTCCCTCTGCCTTGTTCCTACAAGGACGCCTCTCTTTGGATTCAGGGCTCATCCTATCCAGAATGATTTGGCAATCCCATCTCAAGATCCTTAAATTTCTTACATGTGCAAAGACCCTTTTTCCAAACAGGTCACATTTACAGGTACATGAACTTGGACATATCTTTTTGGAGGCCTCCACTCAATCTACTATAGTGGCAGAGAGTAAAACCCTGCCACAAATATTGATCCTGAATGAAACCCCTAATTTCAGGTACCAGTTAATTTGCCCTTCCATTCATTGTGTACATAGCTTTTAATATTTCGATCATGAAACCCTCCTATGCAAAATCCTCCAACAGTTTCCCATCCTACTTAGAAGAAAACCGAAATCATGTCTAATCCTGGCCCACAAGGCCCACGTGACCTGTCCCCTTACTGTGTCCCCTCGCTTACTTCCCTGCAATCTCAGGTGTATCTCCAAATATTTGGGGCTGGCTCCCACGCCAGGACCTTTGCACCAGCTGTTCCTTCTGCCTGGATCATGCTTCTTGCAGATCTTCTCAGCTTTCAGGTCTCAGGTCAAATGTTACCTCCCCGAACAGGTCTTCCCTGACCACCTTCCCTAAAATAGTCCCCAGTCACTCTTTAGGGGAGGATCCTCTCTTTCCTGTTCTAGCTTCTGGTGGCTCCTAGCACTCA